AAATCAAGACAAATTTGATTTGATCAAATTCAAATTGGCCTAATATTTGATTTGATTTGAGTTTGAGGAACCCTACCACAGACAGACAGGCAGAGTGAGAGGGTCAATCAAGTACTGGAGCAATACCTAAGGTGTACCATAAATTATCACCAGGATGATTGGGCCGATCTTCTACCTTTAGCTAAATTTTTTTACAATAACTCCATGTATTCATCAACAAAAACCACACTATTTTTTGCTAATTACAGATTTAGCCCACGTTTCGATATCCAAGCACCTTCATCACCAACTGTACTATCTGCTGAGAATAAAGCAACTCAATTATAACAAATTAGGAAAGAACTTCTGCAAGAATTGAGGGCCACACAGAATTGTTACAAAAAAAATGCTGATCGATAATGACAAGAACCACCTTTGTTCAAGATTAACAACCAAGTTTGGTTAATAAAGAAAAATATTTGCACACAACGTCTATCAGGGAAATTGAATTATAAAAAGTTAGAGCCTTATAAGATCATAACTCAAATTAACCCTGTAGTATATCGCTTAGACCTACCCCCTTCTCTCAAAATCTATGATGTATTCCACATATCTCTCTTGAAACCATATGTGGCAAATGACATCCCTGGTAGATGCCAGGAACCATCCCCTCCAGTAATAATAGATGGAGAAATGAAATATGAAGTTGAGAAAATACTTGACTCGAAATTAATCCAAAAGGAACTACATTACCTAATTGAATGGAAAGACTGAGATTCAAGCTAACACTAGTGAGAACCTGCCAAAAATATGGTGCATACCAAAGAGGCTATAAAAAGTTTCCACCTGCTATACCCCTATAAACCTGGACCAAAAACAACTTTGAGAAAATCAAAAAGAAAGAAAAGAAAGGCATTAAGGGGGAATAATGTTATAGTTATATGGCCAAGCCGCTTAAGCCCATGACTCAAGTCTGACTCAAGCCCGTGACTCAAGCCTAACTCAAGCCTGTGACTCAAGTCCGATTCAAGCCCAACTCAAGCCCGTGACTCAAGCCCAAAGCCCAAATTCGTTACGAATCCAAGACTTCATTTGCATAAGAAATGAAGTAATCCAGTTGTAATAACAAAGCCATGCATTAACAATGTAGTCATAGTTTTGTAGAACCTCAGCAATCATATGATAGCAATTAGTAATTAGTAATAGAAGAATTACAAGATAAAAAGAAAGAAATTGTATACTTATCTTTTTAGTCTGTTCAATAAATTTTTCGTTGTGCTATGTTTAAATTCTAGCTGCATCTTGTGTCATGACAACACTATTATACATATAACCTATGCAAAATCAAAAATATTCTTTGTGTTTTTGTTCAAGGAAAAGAAGAAAATGAATCTAGACATGCTCCAAAGCTATAATCTATAAAGGCTTTTTAATCTATCATGAATATGCTACCAATCTTTAATATATTAATCTTAAACCTATTCCTCAAACCAAAGCACTTACCCAGGAACAATGCTCTATTTTTTATTGCTACTACTTTTTCCAACTAACCAAAGCAAAGAAAATCAAGCTCTTACAAAATTTTGCCCATAGAGGCAAATCACTAAAACAAAAACAAAACCAACAACCAAAAGCTAACAAATCTACTAGAGATATATCTCAAGATCTTGACTGGTTTACTAACTATCCAATTACTCCAGATATGGAACAAAATACTAAACTAAACACAACCCTAACCCAGAAGCTCTTTAACTTTACCAAAACTCACCTTTGCAAATTCACATCAGGTCCACCAATTCCAAATACTGCAGAAAAAGAACTAACTTCAAAACTTCACCAAAAACAAAGCTTTAACTACTTACTTAAATCTATGGCCATGGAAAAACCTAACTTTCTTACAGAATTCCTTCAACAATCAAACCAATTGCTTTCTCCAAAACTTAAAATTTTCCAATATGCCTATAACTCAATCTTAAAAAACTTACTTACCAAATTCACTAAACTTCTCTTAACCAAACTTAATGATGTTTATATTTTCAAATCGCACTACTCAATCCCTTCTTACTCTATTGCCGACCATAATAAAGTTGCAATCAACTTTGCTTGACTATATCTCTTTCCTTACAACAAATATAGCACAATTCACTATCAAAAATTCATGGAAAAACTTGACATCCATCTACTTAGGCTCTCCTTGCAATACAACTTCGAATATGATAATACGAAAAAACCTCTCTTTAGCATTTACAATAACAACCAGTTTATGGTTATAGTTACTCTTAATATCCCCAAATTCAAATTTACAAATACCTTCTATATTCCATCACTTAAACCCTATACTAGTAACTTTGTCTCTTAGTTTAAAAACTTTTTCAAAGCTTACAGAAAACAATTTACTAAAATTAATAAAACTAAAGTTCACAACTACTTTAAATACCAAATCGCAACAACACTTGCTAAAGAATATAAAAAATTTTTTTTTTCTACTTATGAAATTACAAACCCCTTCTCTCTTCAAGATCATTTTTTTCAAACTACTAAAGAAGCCCTCTATCATATCCACACTTGCAAAGACAAAAATTGTACTATCCTACCAATTGATACCAAATATAACTTATCCAACCTCTCTACATTCTTCTTGAATAAATCTTTTAAAACATTTCTAGCATCTTCTAAAGAAGAAACTCCAACAATTACTCAATCAACTTAGATCTTTCTGTTTTCTATCTAGGAAATAAATACCTAGAAACCTTCAAAAAACTTTCCTTATACAAGCTTTAAATTTGCTAGCTACTGAAGCAGACCAAAATTTGCAGAAAAAAACAAGCTAGAAACAAACTCCAAACAAACTGCATATTACTTTTACTCCTATTTCAAAGCCTATCTCAATGCAGCATCAGTAAATAATAATATTTCAACTCTTAAACTTGATGAAGCCCTAGAAAAAACTGCCTTTCTATCAACCAATCCTTATACTTTTGCCTGAATAATCCTCTACTATGATATTTAAAACTGATCTAAATTCTCAATTTCTCAAATCCAGCAAGACTATTAATTTAAACACTACATTGAAGCTAAATAATTCATTATCAAACACACAAAATCAATATTCTTTCTTCTTTCGATGATTCTCTCTTCCTCTCTCCAAATTTTATAAATTTCTCAACTTCTTATAGCTTACTTTTTTAATAATTCCTTTTATAAAGAACATTAATATAGCTACCGCTTTCAAAATAATGATGTTCTCTACTAATAGTGGGCTTTTTTAGAAGAGAATGATGTAAGTAGGAGGGTAGAAAAGCCTATTTACATAGAAGAACTAACTAACAATGGTCAAACTTAACACACAGAGCAGACTTTAGTTTCTTGTATATCTATAAAAGCTGGGCATATGGTAAGCAACTCTATAGAAAGAACTCAAAAGGTCTTAGCTTCCAATTCATCAAATACTGCTAAAACTCCCTTACAAATCACTTTCTTCACAATATCAAAAAAAGCTACTATTCTATCTATGTTTATAAACACCACTATACCCAAATCAAAACCTCTTAAAAATTCTACTTCTGAGAATTCAGATAATGACAATATATTCCCAACACTATACTAGGCGAACTCACTAATTCCTCTTTTTTTAATTTACTAGATCTTTATAATTCTAATACATGCTACAACAAATTCTTATTTTATTATAAAATTCAACTTCTACCTTCATCTCAAACAATTATCTCCTTTACGTAATTAATTAAATTAAACTACCCAACCTTCTTCTCTGAACAATATATTAAAATTTCTGCTCAAACAAAAACCAACCAAAATTCTGAAGAAGCACATATATACTTATCACATGAAATATCTCTCCTACCCAATCACTTCCTACTCTCTTTTAAAAATTTCTCTAACTTTCAAAATACTCTTCTCAAATCTAATTCTACAAATATACCCTTTCTATAAACTTGCGAATCTTTTTTAGAACAACTCCTAAATCATTCTATATCAAATCCATCTTTTATTTTAGAACATGCTTCAATTCTTATTAAAATTGCTTCTCCAAATATCAATGACCTTATCTTTCCAAACAAAAAACTTGTAATTTCAGAAGCTCTTAACAATAATTTTTTCGAAATCTTAGGTTTTTCTAAAACATACCTCTTAACTAAAGAAGGAAAATTCTTCAATAACCAAAACCCAAACTATATTAGTTTTTGGAGCTCTTACTCCTTACTACACCAAGCAGGTGTATGTATTCTAATTCACCATAAAATAGCAAAATATATTGTTCACTCACACAACTACAAAGGCTATATCATTGGCATAGATCTCTATTTTAAAAATCTAGCAATACACCTTCTTCAAATATATATTCCAACTTAAAAAAAAAACAACTCTGCAAAGATATTCAAGAATATATCATTAATCTCTCTCAAAACCCTAACTACAAAATAATAATTATGAGAGACTTTAATAGTGTTTTAAATCTAGAACTTAACTGATCTCCACCCAAAAAATCCTCTATATCTGAATTGCAACTTATTAAATATTTGCAAAGCTAACAATACAAAAACATCTATTGCTTCTTCTTTCCTAATTCTTAAAACTATATATTTAAATGAGTAAATATTCAAAGTAGGATTGATCAGATCTGGACCAATCTATCTATTACTAATATCAAATATACTGATATTCTTTTAAACATGCTACAAAAATCTGACCACTATATAACAATACTAGAAATAACAATTATTATTAATAAAGCCAAACCACCTAAACAATGAAAAAAAAAATATTTTCTCTGGAAAAATTGCCCAAAAGAAACTATTTATAACTACGTCTTCTAAACCTCATATTACCTTCAACATATCTCTCCCAAAATCTAACTAATTACAAACTAAAACCAACTTAACCTCATATGGAACCAAATATACAAAGCTCTAATTAAAGCAGCTAATAAACATATTCCTTTTAAAAAAATTAAAACAATTAAAGAAATTCAAAACTCCCTATCATCTAAACAACCACCACTCTTTTACAAATATAAGCAAATCTATTTTCTCAAAAACCACTTCCACTCATTCAATTTCTCTAACCTACTCAACCAATATTTAACTCAATATCCTAAAAACTCAAATACCCAACTTATATCCAAATCAAAAATGAATTTCAACTTGTCAAATTCTCTCTTAATCATCAAACCAACAAAATCTATATAATGAAATCAAACAACAGGAATAAAACCTTCACAGAAATATCTAGACTATTCTATAAAAACATCCTCAAAAGATATGACAATATTAATATTGACCACCTCTTACTTAATAATACACTATTAACAGAATACAATGAAATCCTAAATCAAATACATAACTTTTTCTCTGAATACTTTTCAAAAAAACCTCTATACCCAATCCCTTCTGACCTTCAACAACTCTACCAAGTATACCCAGAACTTGAATCTTATTACAGTGAACTATTCAAAACAATTACAGATCAGAAATGGTCTGGAATAATCTCCAACTTCCCAAATCAAAAAGCAGCAAAACTTTAGAAATTTACTATGAACATGTCAAATATGCTAGTCCTTTAGCACAAAACATTCTCAAATCCTTTATTAACAAATATCTTCAACTACAAAAAATTCTAACAGAATAGAAATTCTCAAACATCTTCTTCATTCCAAAAAAATCTAACTGAAACTTTACACTCAATCAAGTTCAACCGATATCAATTATTAAATCTCTCAAAAAGATCTTACAAAAATTTTTACAAATCATTTAGACCTAATAATCTTATCAAATAATCTCCTTTAAATTTAAACTTCGCAGCTTCTAAAAACTCTTTAATACATATGCCAATCCAAATCCTGCACAATACTATTGAACACTATATCTCTTACAACAAAGAAGCATAGATACTATTTCAAGATATGTCTAAAGCTTTTAATAGAATCAATATCAAATGGCAACAAAATACTTGCTGTAGAATTGGTATTCCTGCTCTTGGTATCAAACTAATAACTGAATTACACACTAAAGTAATTACAGCTCACAGCTTAACATCACCAATTCAAATTAAATCTGGTATTAAACAAGAAGAAACCTACTCTTTTTTATT